TGTGTGTGTGTGTGTGTGTGTGTGTACAGGACTTCAGCCTTGCCGAGGAATTTGCTACAAAAGCTCTGGAGCTAAAAGCCAAATCTTACGAGGCGTTTTACGCCCGAGCCCGTGCCAAACGGAGCCGCAGGTACAAATTACACAAAGTTTCATTATTTTGTTTAATAATGACTTGTTGGAATCTGATGTATGTTTTTGTTCACTTCAGGTTAGCTTTAGACAGTGGTGGGCAGCACTGATTTAAAAATTAGTTCCACTAGCCCTAAAACACTAACTCAAATATTTAGGTCCCCTAATTCTAAAGCACTAATACACTGAAAGTTTTAGCAAAAGCTAATTCTAAAGCACTAAATAAACCCAGTCAACCCATGAACATTCTTCAACAGACAACATGAGTCACATATTACCATGTAGCTCTCTATCCCCATGACACAGTATAAACAATGACTTTGTGGTTGTACATTAGAAAAAAGTCAGTCAAAATTTACTCCCATGTACGTATAGTATGACCCCCCCCCCCCCCTTCCACTTTATGGATGATTTTTGTGGTTAAACGTATTTTATTATACACGTATAAATACGGCATGTTGCTACAAAGATTGTCTGTTTTATTTATTCTGCTTGTGTTGTTGGTTTCTTTTCAGACAGTTCCATGCCGCCCTGCAAGACCTTGATGAAGCGAGCCGCCTGTGTCCATCCAACCGGGAAATCCAGCGCCTGTTGTCGAGGGTGAAAGAGGAGTGTTGGCAGGCTGCTCAGCAACCGGACTCTGTCAGTGAGTCCAWGTCCAGGGACTCAGACCACCTGCTGCTGCAGGACAGGGAGGACCAGAAGAAGAACCAGRAGGAGCTGGAGAGGGAAGAGGAAAAAAGACAATTATCTCTTTATCCTCTGCAAACAAGTGAAAGTTTTGACCCCCCATCATCGCTCTCCCCTACCCACCGACATCCTCACCTCCCCAGCCCCACCCACTCAGCAGGCCTCTCCTCACCCAGTCACCCTCCACCTGCCTTGTCCTCATRTCACCACTACAGTGCTCCTCCCTCACCACAGCAACATCCACAGGGTGCGCCTGGAGGACCGTACCTCCATCCTCAATCTGTCTCAGCTCTGCAGCTCTCAGATCTGAATCAGGGACTGCAGCAGAACCACCTTGTGTCCGGTCAGAGGTCCCTCCAGACTCAGAACCCTGCCCAGGTTCAGTGGCTCCAGCAGGCCAAAGTGGAGGTGGTCAGGACCAGTCAGCCTAACTCCTCAACCCACTCCGGCAAGGTTTTGGGGAGTTCTGCCTACTCCCAGTTTGCTCATCTACCCCAAGAGTTAGCAGAGCTGGGAGAAGGGTTTTACCCGAACCCTTTAGATGTCAGGCCGACCCCTCCGGTCCGTTCTTCTTCTCATGCCGTGGATGATGTGGATCTCGTTTGCCAGACGAGAGCTAAACCTGCACACGGAAGAGGCTCAGGAGCCGAGAGGACAGGAGTCAGTCTCTTTGGCCAGTCTGGACTATTTCATCGCAACCCGTCCAAAGCAGCTTATTACCCGATGGAAGTCACTGAAGCAGCTGTGGAACATCTGGACAGACTTCAGCCTTCACACAACTATCAGTACTACCACCAGGGTGGTCTTCCACTCAGTGCCCACCCAACCTCCAGCTCYGCCTCTCCCAGGCCTCTCATCCACACTCAGGGCGTCAGCATCCGGTTCTCTTCCAGCAGTGGAAGCCTTGTTAGTGGGCCCCCAGCCAATCAGGGCCAAGTCTTCAGGACCTCGGCCTCGGCCCAGCACATGGACCTGCSTTTGGATTCTATGGGAGGGGTCTACGATTACCAAGACCATCTTTTTCTTAATTCCTCTCCTCAGTCAGAGATGTGCGTCCCAGGAGGCGGGACTTATCCCGGAGAAGCAGGAGGCTCATCCAGGAACACTCCGTTTATGKGCGTAACCGACAAGACTGTAAGGGTGCCGCAGCAGTACCAGCAACCGGGTCCTACCAGTTCACCGTCCTGCCTGAGTCCCTCTCACTCCTGGGCTGTGTCTTCAGTGGACACTGTAGTTACCTCAGCTGGTGAGAGCCACGGAGGCTTCGCTCCACATCAGCCTTCATCCATCGCCTACTACAACCGCAGCAACAACAATGGCCACCACATCCAGGACAGCCAGCCAGGTTTCTCTGAGCCACTTCCAGGTCACGGTCGACAGGRGGAAGGCTCGGTGCAGGGGACTTGTCAGAATCCTTCCTATCTTGACCTTAAGGTGGTCCGTCTGCTGCCAGATGTCTACAGCTGCTCAGACAGACCACCGCAGAGAAGGACAGGTCCTATGTCTCCTGTCAAACCAAAAAGACCCTTTGTAGAGTCAAATGTGTAAGAAATGAAGAAGGGTAAAAGTAGGCCGAAGCAATGTGTGTACCAGTTTATTCCAACAACGGTTAATGTTCTGTTCTGAAACTGACTTGTTCGTAAATCATTCAGGAGACATCRCTGATGGTTCACACAGATATAACATCCCAGCCTTCAGATTCACTTCATCCTGCAGACCAAGTACGACACAAGAAGAGACAGAAACAGTTTAAGATGAAGATGGACTCAAGAAAACCCACAATCTGATGATGCATCTGTAGTTTCAAAACAACCAGCACAGACTAAACTCAGTCATTGCAAAGATCAGCTTCACTCACTTGGGTTTTCTTAGCCAGACAAAAAGAAGTTGTGGGACAAAGAGGAATGTCAGATTCAAACAGAATAAAGGACAAGCTGGAAGACACACACACGTCAACCTTCTGCTCTGGATTCATTGTARTTCTAAAGAAGCTCAGAGCTGCTGACATTCAGACAGAAGTCTCAGAAGTGCTTCTGTTCCGGCTGGCTGCTGCCATCATCATCATCATCATCACCATGTGTGTGAWAACAGTGAGTTAGCATGAAAGGATGGATTCAGGTTCTAACAGTCAGATTCTGATCCTTGAAACCAGACCCAAGCCATAGCTTTACTAAGTAGCACAATGTTGTCATTAAGCACWGATTTGATGTGCATAAAATGTGATATTTATATTTAACTGAACAATTTGGTTTTATGTTCATTTGCTAATTTTGGGGTCTTGAGTAGAAAACCTCTTTTTTT